CCATCGCCAGCCAGGCCGAGGGACCCCACCTGTGCACCAATTCGTGCACCAGGTCTCTAGTGTTTCAATATGTGGCCAGGACAGACGGAAGGCTTTCATGGTTGAGCTACTGTTGGTCACTCGCTATGTAATTATAATGGTGGTGGTGGCTGCTCCTAGACCCATGGTCGGCAAACTGCGGCTCGCGAGCCACATGCGGCTCTTTGGCCCCTTGAGTGTGGCTCTTCCTAAGCCTTAGGAGTACCCTAATTAAGTTAATAACAATGTACCTACCTATATAGTTTAAGTTTAAAAAATTTGGCTCTCAAAAGAAATTTCAATCTTGATATTTGGCTCTGTTGACTAATGAGTTTGCCGACCAGTGGCCTAGGGGGTTGTGGCTACTATTCCAGTCATTGAAATTCAACCCCGTCTTCTCTTATTCATCCTGTTTGAATGAATGGGGCCACGGATTCCTTGATAATTTACGACGTTGCCGTCTTTATGGGAACCACTCATAAAACAGCATCAAAAGCTCTTCCTTTTACTGTGAGTTGTAAAATTCGAGGTAAAATCCTGTCTTGTCCCAGGCCCCCGCGGGCAGGGCTTTGTGAAAAATGGTCACATTACCACAGAGTGTGCGAAACCCGGAGGGGGCAGGATTTACAAGCTAAATTAAAAGTTAGAGAACCACCACGGAGAGTCCACACGATGAATTTCCAAATTATTAATATTACGGCCCAAAGTCTACATCACCTGGCCTGCCTTGACCCTGCCCAACCCTTTCTCTCTCTTACTGGGTACTGTTTACTCTTCCAGGCTCAGGTTGCAAAAAAAACAACATCTTTCTCCAGAAAATGTACTATTTGTTCCCAAACACAGAATTACCGGAAAGTCACATAAAACAAAAAAAAAAAACGGAGAGAAAGAAAAACATCCGCAATGCACGTTTCCTTCATCGCTGCTTTTATTACAATCTGCTTTTCTCTTTTTCTAACCTACACTTCTCATTTGTGACTTTGAGCTTCCCAGAAGTAGCGTCTGCCTACTCTTATAGGCCAGTAGGGGTTGTTTAAAGTATAATAAGTTTGTTACTTTCCAGGTTGAAGAAGGCATTTAGAATTAGTGCAGTTGAGCCCGGCCGGCATGGCTCCGTGGTTGAACGTCAACTGACAAACCAGGTCATAGAAGAAGGCATTTAGAATTAGTGCAGTTGAGCCCGGCTGGCGTGGCTCCGTGGTTGAACGTCAACTGACAAACCAGGAGGTCACGGTTCGATTCCCGGCCAAGGGCACAGGCCCGGGTTGCGGGCTCGATACCTGGTAGGGGGCGTGCAGGAGGCAGATCACCATCATCACCACCATCACCACCATCATTACCATCACCATCATCACCACCATAATCATCACCATCACCACCATCATTACCACCACCATCACCATCATCATTATCATCACCATCATCACCACCATCACCACCATCATTACCATCACCATCATCACCACCATAATCATCACCATCACCACCATCATTACCACCACCATCACCATCATCATTATCATCACCATCATCACCACCATCACCACCATCATTACCATCACCATCATCACCACCATAATCATCACCATCACCACCATCATTACCACCACCATCACCATCATCATTATCATCACCATCATCACCACCATCACCACCATCATTACCATCACCATCATCACCACCATAATCATCACCATCACCACCATCATTACCACCACCATCACCATCATCATTATCATCACCATCATCACCACCATCACCACCATCATTACCATCACCATCATCACCACCATAATCATCACCATCACCACCATCATTACCACCATCACCATCACCATCATTATCATCACCATCATCACCACCACCATCACCATTTTTATCACCAACAATACCATCATCATCATCACCATCATCATCTTTATCACCATCACTACCATCATCACCATCACTATCATTATCACCATCATCATCACCATCTTCATCACCATCACTACCATCACCATCACCATCTTCATCATCCTCATCACCATTTTCATCACCATCACCATCACCATCATCACCACCATCTCCATCTTTATCAACAGCAGCACTATCATCACCACCAGCACCATCACCATCACCATCTTCATCACCATCACTACCATCATCATCACCATCTTCATCATCATCACCATCACCATCACCATCATCACCATCATCACCATTTTTATCACCAACACTACCATCATCACCATCACCATCTTCATCACCATCACTACCATCATCATCACCATCTTCATCATCATCACCATCACCATCATCACCATCACCATCTTTATCACCATCATCATCACCACCATCACCATCACCATCTTTATCACCAACACTACCATCATCGTCATCACCATCTTCATCACCATCACTACCATCATCACCATCACCATCATCACCATCACCACCATCATCATCACCACCATCACCTCCACCTTCATCAATAGCAGCACTATCTTCATCATCATCACCATTTTCATCATCACCATCACCATCATCATCACCATCACCATCACCATCACCATCACCACCATCATCACCACCATCACCTCCACCTTCATCAACGGCAGCACTATCATCATCATCATCATCATCATCATCATCATCATCATCATCATCATCATCATCATCATCATCATCATCATCATCATCATCATCATCATCATCATCATCATCATCATCATCATCATCATCATCATCATCATCATCATCATCATCATCATCATCATCATCATCATCATCATCATCATCATCATCATCATCATCATCATCATCATCATCATCATCATCATCATCATCATCATCATCATCATCATCATCATCATCATCATCATCATCATCATCATCATCATCATCATCATCATCATCATCATCATCATCATCATCATCATCATCATCATCATCATCATCATCATCATCATCATCATCATCATCATCATCATCATCATCATCATCATCATCATCATCATCATCATCATCATCATCATCATCATCATCATCATCATCATCATCATCATCATCATCATCATCATCATCATCATCATCATCATCATCATCATCATCATCATCATCATCATCATCATCATCATCATCATCATCATCATCATCATCAAATCTCTTAAGTGCATGCAAAACAGTGAGCACAGAGCCAGGCACCAGTGAGGTCACTATAATATCCCCCCGAAAGTTTACTCATGATTAATGTGCCACCTATTCTTGAAGCTGTGTGCTTTCAAATGCCCCCTTTACATTCACAGGAGAGGCTTGCGTTTAAGAGAAGGTCCCATTTATCAAGCATAAAAGCGTCTAAAAAATTCAAGACAGGAAACGGACGCGCAGAACCCCAAGGGAAATACACAGCCTTAGGGCCGAGATTACATCCTGCAGCGAACACAGGAATAACAGAGCCAACGCTGGCATTGCTGTCGTGGGTCCTGCAATGTTAGTATTCCAGAGACAGCAACAAGGAGGCAGAGTTGTAAGCCCTTGTCCTGGATGCAAAGGAAGATAAATGCTGAGTCACATCTGTCTCGACCGCTTTTAACATCCTTGCAAAGCAACCTGACCCAACCCCACGGCTGGGCCTTTATCCACTAATGTCAGAGGCGGCCACGCTGGCCTAGAAATTCGAGGAAAATCCTGGGTAGGGCCTTGCCAACATCAGACGCCTGCTCTCTAAACGGAACTAACAAGCAAAATAGAGACCGACTTGCCCGGCGGGCATGGCTCAGTGGTTGAGCGTGGACCTATGAACCAGGAGGTCACAGTTCGATTCCACTCAAGGGCACATACCTGGGTTGTGGGCTCCATCCCCAGTAGGGGGCGTGCAGGAGGCAGCCGATCCACGATTCTCTCTCATCATGGATGTTTCGGTCTCTCTCTCCCTCTCCCTTCCTCCCCGAAATCAATAATCCGATATAATAAAACCCTAACATGCAAATTGACCGAACGGCGGAACAATCAGTTGCCATGACGTGCACTGACCAGCAAGGGGCAGACACTCAATGCAGGAGCTGTCCCCCTGGTGGTCAGTGCGCGCCAACAGGGGGAGCACTGCTCAGCCAGAAGCCAGGCTCACGGCTGGTGAGCCTAGCAGTGGTAGCGGGAATCTCTCCCGCCTCCATGGCAGGTGGACATCCCCCAAGGGGTCCCGGACCACCAGAGGGTGCAGGCCGGGCTGAGGGACCTCCCCCACCCTCTGCACAAATGTTGTGCACCGGGCCTCTAGTATAGCCTATATAATAAAAGGGTAATATGCAAACTGACCCTAACAGCAGAACGACTGGAAATGACTGGTCACTATGACACACACTGACCACCAGGGGGCAGACGCTCAATGCAGGAGCTGTCCCCCTGGTAGTCAGTGCGCGCCCACAGGGGGAGCACTGCTCAGCCAGAAGCCGGGCGCACGGCCGGCGAGCATAGCAGTGGTAGCGGGAATGTCTCCCACCTCCATGGCTGGTGGACATCCCCCAAGGGGTTCCAGACCGCCAGAGGGTGCAGGCTGGGCTGAGGGACCTCCCCCACCCTCTCAGTGCACGGTTGTTGTGCACCGGGCCTCTAGTATATCCTATATAGTAAAAGTGTAATATGCAAACTGACCCTAACAGCAGAACGACTGGGAATGACTGGTCACTATGACACACACTGACCACCAGGGGGCAGACGCTCAATGCAGGAGCTGCCCCCTGGTGGTCAGTGCGCTCCCACAGGGGGGCTCTGCTCAGCCACAAGCCAGGCTGATGGCTGCCAGTACAGCGGTAGTGGTGGGAGCCTCTCCCGCCTCCTTAGCAGCTCTAAAGATATCCAACTGCAGCTTAAGCCTGCTCCCCGCTGGCAAGTGGACATCCCCCGAGGGCTGCCGGGCTGCCAGAGGGATGTCTGATTGCCAGCTTAGGCCCAATCCCCTGAGGAGCGGGCCTAAGCCAGTAGATGGTCATCCCCTGAGGGGTCCCAGACTGCGAGAGGGCACAGGCCGGGCTGAGGGACCCCCCC